AAAAAGAACCTAATGGATCAAGAGCCGGTGGAAGTTGTTTTTGATATTTGTTTAAATTCCACAAACAGAATGTGGCTGATGTCGTTATTAGGAGTTTGTTTGAACTTTCTTACTCGTGTGACATGGAGCGGCAGAGTGCACTTGCGTGGGTGGATGAAGGGTCATGGGAAGCTGAACGGTGCTAGCTCTACAGATGATATGTCGGTGATATATTGCTTTGTAGACAGCAATGTCAATGTGTCCGGCCGGATCTCTGAGATTATTATATTCCGCTCATCCTAGCATACAATTCACTGTGTCAGGAGAGATTAACACTGGAAGAGGTTATTTCACCATCTGATTAAAGCTTCAAGTAGATCTAAAGAAGGTTGACTTGGCTCGGCTATGGCCAATCAAACGACAAATCTGATTCTGTTTGGTAACTAGGATGATATAAATCTAAACAAATGACACCGTTATTGTACAGCTATCTTTTCGGGAGGTTTTACTTCACGACAGTTATCCAGAGGTCTTCTGGCTAACATTTCACCACCCCGTCTAACAAGGGAGAAACTTACCCCAGTAGAAAAAATACTCAGTGTGTACCTCTCCCATTCAAGCGGGATCCAATCACAGAGTTGATCAATCGAACAAGAAGAACTGTAGTGGATAATGCACTTCATGCGGTAAAATTAGGTGCCCTATGTACTTTCAGACCGATCATGTTTGCGACTCTAAGACACGTATTTTCGTTCGTGTTTACCTGTGGTCACGGAGCTTTTTAGTCGCCTCCGCGACCGCTGGAGTTCTTCAGCATACTTTACATCTTTTTTCCTCCCAACACAGTTTTTGAAACCTCTCAGTTATCTCCGCCGCATATCGTCTAAGCAGAATCCGAATAACGGGATAAATTGGAATTGGTTTAGGAAACCTCGATAGATATCATAAATGTGTTCCTTTTGACTCTAGATTACTTCTGGTTGTTTTTCTGTTCAGATTGATACCATGTAAAATTTGATGTGTTGAGTGTTTTGATGAAATCATTGGAAACAAACGTGCTTGCTGAAACGTGTTTTCTCTCAGTGGTGTCGAGGATATTTTGATTGATTGAATGGTTGTAAGAACTAAACTGAACTGAAATGATTGAATTTCTACGTTGAATCACACCTTCCATAGATTCTTTGATCTGAAAGTAGCGTTTGGCTCAGTTGACTGCGGGGCGAGTTAAACAGATAGTTTAGAAACAGCAGCCATGTTCATCAAGAATACCTTATTTCACCATTCCTGTTCAATTTCGTCATGGTCTTCAAAATGTTGATATTGAATGGGCAGCTGGAGCGAGCTGTGCGAATTAGGGTAAATCAAAGAAGTCGTCTCTCTGTTCGACTGTACGAAGGATGTGCAACGACACTTACCAGAGTAACAAGCTCCGTTGATACCTTTAAAAAGCGGAATGATGCTACAAGGCTCGGTTCCGAGTAGTCCCACTTTGAAATTAGATTCTCAGGAATTCGTTTAGTTCTTGCTTATTTTCCTACCAAAGGCGGTCGCATGACAAATGATATTAGAGCAGTAAGAGAGAAGATAATCGTGCGCATTTCCAGGGACATTAGCGTACACAAGACTGAATTTCCTTTGGTGCCGATTTGTGGTTTCGTTGAAACTAAAAGTACGCATATGTTTCCACTGCGCGATCACTTCCGCTTTGCACGTGGAAGACACCCCTCATCTAAAATTCTTCGACTAGATTTCCACGAATCTTTGGAGAATTCATTATCGCATCGGATTGAAGTTATTGGGCTTCACCGGTTAGCAGATGTATGGTGCATACCTAGCCGTTATCTACCGCACCATGCCTTATTCACAGTTACTGCCGCAAGCCGGGAAACTCCGGCGGAAGGCAGATTCCTTAACCCTCTGCGCCACTTCATAGCTGGCCCACTCCTGGCTGTTCGTTTCAGTCCGGCCTATTATCAGCAAATAGCGCGTATGGTGGAGCAGACGTTCTGGCATTCGTAAGACGTGCCCCAGTTACCCAAGACAATGCAGTGAAATAGTTTTACTTCGTGGTACACTATCTGATCCCAACACACGCCTAACCTCATTGTTACTCATGCAATGCTCCTACCATACGCGGGCGATATTCCGCAGACAACGGTTGTCTAACACAGAGATAATGCGTTTGCCTATATTTACTGGCAAACGAAATGGTATAATCTGAAGTGAAGAGCTACGTTAAGGCGTGATATTTGACTGGGAATAATAGGGATGCTACCTATCTACACCCTTTTCTTATAGATCGGCTTTTTATTGCAACAATACTGATTCTATTATGCATATGTACTTTTCGCAATCCCATCACAAAAAGACCATCTTTGATGTTGCTTGCGGTTTTTTCTTTCTGATTTCAGCTATTTCAAAGATTGGAGGCTGATTGTACACGTTCAGGCAGTTGGCATCCTCGTTCCGCTGGACTGGCTATATTGTCCCGATGCCTTCAGTTGGCCGGGCCTGCTCTACTGCTCACCACAACTGTCCCGGTTCCCGGCGAGTCATCANGTGAACACCTGTCTGAGCGTCGCACTACAATTGTTGGAACGTGGTTGTCGTTTAGATCGTCAACCCGGGGCGGGGGCGGAAAAATCACCCGGTGGTTCCGATCCGCTAACCATGGCCAGTGAGGCGGAACTCCGATTACGCGGTCTCATTCTGCTTACTCGGCTCACAGACAATGGGGCGATTCGGGTGAGTCACATTCGTAGTCTTATACAGTTCGATTGTGATCACTTGATTCATCCATACATTGTTTCCCAGCCTAATGTGAACGTGCTTCCGGTCGTGTGATATCATAGACAGATAATGCGTAAACCAAGGCTACTGCTTTTAGGTTCTTCTTAAACGGTACTCGTTGTTTTGATGGACTCCGTTGGTTATCACACGTGCAAGCCATGCGGAAATAAGGCGCAGATCTCCAACTGTTCGTGTTCGCCCATTGTAGCGAGTGACCAACCGCCATACATTTCAACGACTGGAGCATGTCACCAGGTTGGCCCACTCGTCGTCCGTTGATTGCTTAGGTAGCTGGTGGTTGGTAGCCAAAAACTAAGACCTGTTATGCAAATGTACGAATCCTGACCTCCCAGTTAGGGATTTCACAACTAACCTAGTCAATGGGTTAGTTGTAGCATTGATGGTGAATCTGACTAATGTGTTTTGAACCGTACTTTATATCTTGACCCTATAGTAGTGCTCCTAGATTTATAATACTTCCTTTCCATTCTTCATCCGAAATTCGAGAATCAAAATCAATGCGTGACACTGCAAAATTCACGATCGAATAAAGTGAACGTGAAACAGACAATTCGATAATGTGCCTTCTTAAAAAATACCACTTTCCAGTTATCAGAATGTACATTCATATTATGTGATCTGCAAGGAAGTGACCTACGCCTTATTTGTCTTCAGCACAATATAGTCTCGCATTAGTTCACTTGCTCTGTATATTTCAGACACGTCACACCTTGATTCAGCCGACTTGGTCGACGCTCTTTAATGCCACCGGATTGACACTTTTTTCGGCTCACATAGCTTGCTCCGCAAGAGCATGTAAATTGATAAACGCAAAATATGGTCGCATTCAGGGTCAATCTACATCTAATCTGCACTAAGGAGAAAGGTTTGGGCGTGAAAATAATACCTCAACTCACGTACATTTAATAGAAGCTTGAATACATCTTTACATGCAATCGTATCTCTTCTAAATAGGATGAATAAATAATTAGGCTTCTCGTTTACTGTTTTGCATTGTGCCTCGGTCTGGGTGTGTAGTTATAACTCGGGTTATTCATTCCTCAGAAAAAAAACTTGTTTCATTAGTTGAAGTTCAACTTGAATAGATTTCACCGAACAAAGCTTCATAACTCGACTGATAAAGCAACGAATCAGATTTTTCTTCAGCTGCACTGGTACGAAACTTAATTAGTGTTTACTATTTATTTATTTTCACACACTTCGGAGTTCAGATTGTGCCAACCAAATCACAATGAAACAATCTTTATAAAAAAGGGTTCTTGACTTGTTCAAGGGCACGATACTGCTAGGTTGCCCAGACCACAGTTGGTGAATTTTCTTCGGGATTTCACAGCCGGAGCTTTTCGGCTACTCAAAGCCTGTCCTGTAAGGCAACGGGGTGGTGCACGGATACCACAATCCATTGGGGGCCGGTGTCCGGTTCATCGGACCATACCCCCATTGGACGGGGTCAAACGTCCAAGGCGCCGAGTACACCTGGATGCCAAATCGAGGCGGTGAGCACTACCACGACCAGGAAAGTGTTTACGTATTTCATACACCTCCTCTTCGTTGGTTTGGAGCTAGGCTTTTTAGTGTGTGTACTATCTCATTCTCTTTTCCCCATTCTGAATGCTTTTGTAAATTGAGCCACCTGCAGGCCAGGACGAGAGTTTCAGTTTCATTTTTCCCAACCATTAACCGTTCACCTTTATGTACCGGTTTTGTGTACTGTCAGGATCAGAGCACGTCTGGAACTGTAAGACCATCTGTGCATTGTTTACTAGCAAGAACTCGATTTGCATATGAATTCCATCGAAATTTTCCCATTGATAATGAGCATCCATGTATGCATTGTATACACGTATAAAGTCATCTACAGACAGTTTTCAGAAAGTGTATTCTTATGTAGATTTCGAAAACACTTCGTTTTCGAATGGAGTCATCAAATATCTGTGAACGATGATTCGCACGACGAACCCGACACTATTCCATGCTTCTGTCTACATGTTGCTCTGTTTAATTGAAACTGTTTTGTTACATATGCGTGTTTAGAGAAGTTGCCTGCTTCCACTGACAGACAGTCTATGTACTTCCGGACGAACTCAACAGTCTCTTCATATAGATTGCTTCATGCGACAGAGAAATGATAATTACCGATATATATCATATATTATATTTCACACTTATCTGAGGACAGACTGTGTGCCAGGCGAATCATGGTACAATAACCTTTATAAAAAAGGAAAAAGGTTCCATAATTGACTTCTGGACTGAATACTGCCAGGTTGCTGAGGCCAATTTTCTTGAGGAATCCACAACCGGAGCCTTCGGCTAGCCAAAGCCTGACTCGCAA